TTATCTGATTGACATTCTGGATTCCTTGCAGCTCAGTTCACGCCACAGACAGTATTTCTGCAAGGATGGTAGTTTTAGTTTAGCTTCAGGAAAACAAGTCGAGCATCAGATTTAGATATTTTTAGAGCTGAGAAGAGTTCGCCTGCAAAGTGCAGCTGCAGCCAAAGCAGGAACCGCTTTTTACTTTTTATGATAAACTAACCACATCCGTCGCTGCGCCGCCTCAGAATGAGACGCGTTCAAGTCTGTGGGAAAACCGAGCGCCAGAAAGACGCAGCAGCAGGGATGGGAATATCCTGAAGGTTTTACCCCTGAAGGTTTTACCCCTGATGGTTTTACCCCTGATGGTTTTACCCCTGATGGTTTTACCCCTGATGGTTTTACCCCTGATGGTTTTACCCCTGAAGGTTTTACCCCTGATGGTTATACCCCTGATGGTTTTAGCCCTGATGGTTTTACCCCTGATGGTTTTACCCCTGAAGGTTTTACCCCTGAAGGTTTTACCCCTGATGGTTTTACCCCTGATGGTTTTACCCCTGATGGTTATACCCCTGATGGTTTTACCCCTGATGGCTATACCCCTGAAGGTTTTAGCCCTGATGGTTTTACCCCTGATGGTTTTACCCCTGATGGTTTTACCCCTGATGGTTATACCCCTGAAGGTTTTAGCCCTGATGGTTTTACCCCTGATGGTTTTACCCCTGATGGTTTTACCCCTGAAGGTTTTACCCCTGAAGGTTTTACCCCTGATGGTTATACCCCTGATGGTTTTACCCCTGAAGGTTTTACCCCTGAAGGTTTTACCCCTGATGGTTATACCCCTGATGGTTATACCCCTGATGGTTATACCCCTGAAGGTTTTACCCCTGAAGGTTATACCCCTGAAGGTTTTACCCCTGAAGGTTTTACCCCTGAAGGTTTTACCCCTGATGGTTATACCCCTGATGGTTTTACCCCTGAAGGTTTTACCCCTGAAGGTTTTACCCCTGATGGTTATACCCCTGATGGTTATACCCCTGATGGTTATACCCCTGAAGGTTTTACCCCTGAAGGTTATACCCCTGAAGGTTTTACCCCTGAAGGTTTTACCCCTGAAGGTTTTACCCCTGAAGGTTATACCCCTGATGGCTATACCCCTGATGGTTTTACCCCTGAAGGTTTTACCCCTGAAGGTTTTACCCCTGAAGGTTATACCCCTGATGGCTATACCCCTGATGGTTTTACCCTGAAGGTTTTACCCCTGATGGTTTTACCCCTGATGGTTTTACCCCTGAAGGTTTTACCCCTGAAGGTTTTACCCCTGATGGTTTTACCCCTGATGGTTTTACCCCTGATGGTTATACCCCTGATGGTTTTAGCCCTGATGGTTTTACCCCTGATGGTTTTACCCCTGAAGGTTTTACCCCTGAAGGTTTTACCCCTGATGGTTTTACCCCTGATGGTTTTACCCCTGATGGTTATACCCCTGATGGTTATACCCCTGATGGTTTTACCCTGAAGGTTTTACCCCTGAAGGTTATACCCCTGAAGGTTTTACCCTGAAGGTTTTACCCCTGAAGGTTTTACCCCTGAAGGTTTTACCCCTGAAGGTTATACCCCTGATGGCTATACCCCTGATGGTTTTACCCCTGAAGGTTTTACCCCTGATGGTTTTACCCCTGATGGCTATACCCCTGATGGTTTTACCCCTGAAGGTTTTACCCCTGATGGTTTTACCCCTGAAGGTTTTACCCCTGATGGTTTTACCCCTGAAGGTTTTACCCCTGATGGTTATACCCCTGATGGTTTTACCCCTGATGGTTTTACCCCTGATGGTTATACCCCTGATGGTTATACCCCTGAAGGTTTTACCCTGAAGGTTATACCCCTGATGGTTTTACCCCTGATGGTTATACCCCTGAAGGTTTTACCCCTGAAGGTTTTACCCCTGAAGGTTATACCCCTGATGGCTATACCCCTGATGGTTTTACCCCTGAAGGTTTTACCCCTGATGGTTTTACCCCTGAAGGTTTTACCCCTGATGGTTTTACCCCTGATGGTTTTACCCCTGAAGGTTTTACCCCTGATGGTTTTACCCCTGATGGTTTTACCCCTGAAGGTTTTACCCCTGATGGTTTTACCCCTGAAGGTTTTACCCCTGATGGTTTTACCCCTGAAGGTTTTACCCCTGATGGTTTTACCCCTGATGGTTTTACCCCTGAAGGTTTTACCCCTGATGGTTTTACCCCTGAAGGTTTTACCCCTGATGGTTTTACCCCTGAAGGTTTTACCCCTGATGGTTTTACCCCTGATTTTACCCCTGAAGGTTTTACCCCTGATGGTTTTACCCCTGATGGTTTTACCCCTGAAGGTTTTACCCCTGAAGGTTTTACCCCTGATGGTTTTACCCCTGATGGTTTTACCCCTGATGGTTTTACCCCTGAAGGTTTTACCCCTGATGGTTTTACCCCTGAAGGTTTTACCCCTGATGGTTTTACCCCTGATGGTTTTACCCCTGAAGGTTTTACCCCTGGTTTTACCCCTGATGGTTTTACCCCTGATGGTTTTACCCCTGATGGTTTTACCCCTGAAGGTTTTACCCCTGATGGTTATACCCCTGATGGTTTTACCCCTGATGGTTTTACCCCTGATAGTTTTAGCCCTTATAGTTTTACCCCTTATTTTGTGTCAACAGAAATCTGTTTAACAGAACGGCTGAATGTTAATGAAGATGTTATTTATGATTAATTATCATTAATTAACCATTAATTAAATTTTATTGCAGGCTGATTTAAAGAGGAGAAGCAAAAGCAAAGGAGCTGGATTAGCAGCTGATGATGTCATCAGTACGTCTCTGCTGCCTGATAGCATGTTAGCATGTCATACAGCAGCAGTCTTCAGTCAGAAGCTTCTAGGTTTGCTGGAGGACTGACTGCTAACCTTCCGGCCCTCAGCATCACTACTCCGAGTTCTGCTGCGTTTCATTTTCCTTTGGAACAAATAAAGTTTTTTTATTGAATTAGACGAAGTTTTACTTCATCACCATAATTCCTGAATAAACTAAAACATTTACATATTTGCATTTATTCTAGATGCACAGATGGAAAAAATAACTTTCCAAAGTAAAATTTGTTGACATTTCAAAGTTAAAGGAAGATGTTTTTCTAATTCTTCTTTCCGTAACTTTGATTTTTAACGTTGTTTTTTTCTTTTTTTAAACTTCACAGAGTTTCATATTTTCAGATTCAGTTTCCTATCAGAAGAAAAATTTAATTCTTGTCGCCGTCTGCTGTTAACTTTTCCTGAAAACAGATTACTGATTCTTCTACTTTTTATCTGCATTAAAAAAGCAGAAAACTTTATGAATTTCAATGCATTGTCTTTAGGGATGAATGGAATATCACCATTAACATCAATGTCAGTGGATTTCATTTTTAATAAATCAGTTTGATAAATAAAACAGATTAATAACGGCTGATTTTGGTCGGGTGGCTGTTGGTGATGAAGCAAAGGATTATGGGAAGTTTAACTGAAGCAGTAAAATGGCATAGTTTTTTTTACAATGTTGGTAAATTAAAAGAATATCAGTAAATATTGTTTATTAGTTCATCAAATCCTGAATTTAACAATAATCAAGTCACATCAATTTGTCACAATAACTAATCTTTTTAGACGATAATTATTGCGATCGACGATAATATTCATATTCATAATGGCAAAATGATGTAATTTTGTAGACTGATACACTTTAAGTAATTAAAGAACATGCAACACTAAAACTGGAAGATATTTTAGATATTCAAAATAAAAACAACCTGACAGCATAAAATGTGGATGATTATGTTTCCGTAAGCAAAATATTCCTTAAAAAATCTAAAATCATCAGAATGTAAATTATTGAGCTCGTTTTACTTTTTATTGCCGCTCTCCTCTGATTGGCTGAAAATAAGACTAAAGGGTTTTAGAGTGGCCTAGTCAAAGTTTGGAGTTAAGTTAAAAGTGGTGATTCTTCTGTAAAATGAGTGAAGCAGATTCCTCCACAGAGAAGCATAACCAGTTATTATATTTATTATATTTAAATTCATCCTTTATTAACTTTATGCTTCATTTTAGAGGAAAGTTTTTCTCTTTAACTGATCACAGATCAATAATCCAGTAATAACTCTCGTTTATTTAAGGCTGCTGCAGCTATTATTTGCATTTTCTAGCACTCAGAGCCATCAGAACCATAACTTGACTCTGTTCTGGTTTAATGTTTTATGTTGCGTCTCTTTGCTTTTACTTCCATCATAAAGGCATAAAACATGCAAACAGAAACTTAATTGATCAAACGTCTCTTTCTGGAACATTTCTACTTTATTCCATTAATGAAATGGTTGAACTTATTGCTGGTCTTTGTTTTTAAAAATGTAAAAATGCTGCAAACATCTGAAATTAGCAACATTCAGAATAATCTGCTTTTATCTGAAGCTGCTTCAAGACAGATTTTAATTTATCAAGCGGATAAATTAAAGCCGCTCTGACAGATTCACAGAAAAACTTTAAAATCATCTCTGACTGATTGTCTGCTGTTTTAATCCAGGACAGAGTCGGCCTGTTAATACATTAATACTTAGTGCTAACATATTAAATATTAATGTATTAATAGTATTAACACCCCGACATCAAGCACCTGCAGTACCACCTTCGGGCCAAAGAGGGCAGCACTGAGACGTTTTAGGCCAAATATTACAGAATTAAACTAATTCACATGAAATGTCACATAAAGATTTCTGAGTGCAGAAAGAGACATTTTTAATATTTTTCATTAGCTTTTAAGAAAATTAAAGGACCCTGCAGCTGAATCTTTGTTTTGCTCATGTTTGTATTTTAACGTCTTTTGCTTTGATCTGCAGATACTTTATTACATTTCCTGTTTTTAGCTGTCTATATTTCTGAAGGTTTATTTATGAATCTATGAAGTGATTTCCAGAGCTGCGCGTCCCGATAACCGTCCTGATCCCTCCTCTTCCTCCCTGCAGAGAATCTTCATCCTCGTCTTTCCGACTTTCGTCCGACTTTGTGGAGCAGAAACATGGAGGCCAGAGGGAAGTACGACTTCACCGCCACGGGGGACGACGAGCTCAGCTTCAGGAAGAACGACATCCTGAAGGTGAGGCCGGCGGGCGGCGCACCGTCCGCCTGACCCTCCCCCACCTGTTTCTACTAGTAATGCCTGCCTGACCCTCCCCCACCTGTTTCCGGTCAGATCATAAACCTGGAGGACGATTGGTGCAAGGCTGAGATGAACGGACAGGAAGGATACATCCCTAAAAACTACATCGACCTACAGACTCCAGAGTAAGGCCCGCAGCACCATGAGGCCGCCGCCGTGCGGCCACCTGAATCTGTTGGGGTTGAAAACTTTTTGCTTTCCAGTTGGTTCAAGGAAGACGCCAGCCGCAGCCAGGCGGAGGAGCTGCTGAGGCACAAAACGGTCGGAGACTTCGTGATCCGAGGATGTCAGAGTTCGCCGGGAGACTTCTCCATCTCCGTCAAGTAGGTGGAGCCAAACATAAAGCACTCAGAAATGATCATGAATAAAACTATTTAAACCATTATGTAAAATCTCTGGAGAGGTTTCAACTCCCAAAGCTAATTTAAGATATTATTCGTTGTTATTTTAGTAGCAAATGTTGAGACAGAGTATTTATGTTTCCATTCCAGTGCAGCTTCCTGTTTCTGCACCAAAACATTTTCATTCAGACGAAGAGCTGAATCACAGCAGTCAAACTTCTGTCCTGGAGGTCCACCAGGGCCCTGGAGGGCCCCACAGGCACACCGCGGGGCCCTCAGGGGCCCCCAGGACCCTCAGGGCCCCACAGGCACGCCCTGGGACCCTCAGGGCCCCACAGGCACACCGCGGGGCCCCCAGGACCCTCAGGGCCCCACAGGCACACCGCGGGGCCCTCAGGGGCCCCCAGGACCCTCAGGGCCCCACAGGCACGCCCTGGGACCCTCAGGGCCCCTGAGGGCCCCACAGGCACACCGCGGGGCCCTCAGGGGCCCCCAGGACCCTCAGGGCCCCACAGGCACACCGCGGGGCCCTCAGGGGCCCGCAGGGCCTCTAGGGTTTAACTGAAACTGTCGTTTATTGATCCGATCCTGAGCTTCAGACCTAAACTTTATCAACTTTATAAACTTTATAAATGTTCTGCTTCAGACATGAGAACGACGTTCAGCACTTCAAGGTGATGCGGGACAACAAGGGCCAGTACTTCCTGTGGTCTGAGAAGTTCACGTCTCTCAACAAGCTGGTGGACTTTTATAAAACCACGTCCATCTCCAAAACCAGACAGATCTACCTCCAAGATGGCTGCCAGGAGGGCAGGAGCCCCCCGGGCCCCCAGGTAGACACACACCTGGACACTTTTACTTTAACAGGCTGTTTCCGTTTCTCTTCATGGTGACACTCAAACATCGCCTCTTTTATATCAGTGCCACCAAATGAAGCTAAATAATTAGAGAAAATTATTAGGATCTGAATCACCGAGAGGAACTTCCTGTTTTTATATATTTATGTAAAAATTCTAATGATTTAGATAAATTTCTGCTAAAATCGTTGAGTCAGTTTATTTCTATTAATTATGATGATTTTTTTAAACAGCAAGATTTTAATATTTGATATAATATTAAAATCATAACATTACATTAAAGCAATAAAATATTTAAATGCAGAAATATGAGCTTAATAAAAAGGATTAAAAATCATTTTAATCTGACGATCTGTCAATGTTTAAACCACCAACAGAAACATAACGGATCATTTATTTGACTTCAAATCCCAGTTTATAAATTGTTGCTTCGTTCAGATTAACAATTGTCTGTGAAACATTTTTATTTTTTTATGATGCATGAAAACAGTTCTGAGAAATAAGGAAATCATTTTTGATAAACGCTTCCTGGAATCAAGTTATCGACTCTTTTAATCTTATGATAATTTCATCCTTTTATTAGTAAGTCGTTTGTTTTAATTCAAATGTTTTTTTCAGTGCAACGAAACTCAAAGAACGTGCAATTTATTGTTTTAGAAGTAATTTTTCACATAAATCACTTTTAATTTCTTTATTTCTCCTCTGAGCTTAAATTGAACTTTATTCTGCTTATTTTCTCAAACACAAAATAAAATGTTATAATTTCAGTTTTTAAACTGCAAACAAATTTTTTTTCTGGGTTTGTTGTTTTTGTGCTGCAGATTATTCATTTATTCACAAATGTTAATAAAAATTTGTGAATAAATGAATTAATCTGTTAATGATCCATTTGTTGGTGTGAAAACGTTTCTCTGAATCTGCTGCAGTTTTTATCTCGGTTTTAATCGGGCTGATTGTTGCCAAACTGATCGGATCAGAACCGCCATCATTTCATCTGCGCTTCTGAGAATCATCGTCATCAGAAAGCTGTTCAAAAAAATAAAGTTTAAATTTATTTGCAGCTGTAACTGTCGTCAGTTCCTCGTCCAGATTGAGCCAAAACTTGAGAAAGTTTTTGATTTGTGAGCGTCTGAGTAGCCGGGGTCGCCGTGTTTTGATCTGAGCTCTGCTGTTTTCTGTCTGCAGGTGAAGAGAGGAAGTTTGCCTGAGCATCGAAACTCTGCTGCAGCCGTCGCCGCAGCGCCGCGCCGCGCCTCCGACCAGCCGTTCAGCCAGATGGTGACAGACTCAGCCGTTCATCACAGAAACACTTCGTTTTATTATCCACCCAAAAGCCGACATGGAGCCTGAGTTTCTCCGAACTGCTGGACATTAATACGTTCATTTGCTTTCCTGCTTCAGGCTAAACGTTCCGGCTTCGAGGAGCGAGCGCACACCATCGGACACACAGGCCGCAGCAGCCCCATCAGCTCGGCCTGCCCGCCTCGCCGCACCTCTGAAACCATGCCTCTGCCCACGGTGAGCCGCCGCTACTTTACTAGCTGTTAGCATTTCACGCAGAACGCCGGCTGCCCACCCAGGGCGGCAGAAATCCTGCGGTTCATGACCGTCGTTCTGTCTGTAGGGACCAAACCTTCTTCAGCTGACATGATTTTATCGTTAAAACCCAACAAAGTGGAGATTTGAGAAAACTCTGAGAAAACACAGAGACTTAAGAGTCGGCCGCATCACAACCTGCAACAAATAATGCACCAGTATACCCGCACACTCCCAGTGGCACGATCCCCAGTCATTTCACCGACTGTGAAAACTGTCCTCCTTCCTGCAGAGGGCCGGCGTCGTCCAGGTGAGGGCGCTGTACGACTTCACGGCGGAGGAAGATGACGAGCTGGGCTTCTGTGCCGGTGACATCATCGAGGTTTTGGATCGCTCAGACCAGGCGTGGTGGAGAGGACGGCTGCGGGGTCAGAGCGGCTTGTTTCCTGCTAACCACACGGCTCTGATCTGAGGAGCCAAAGCGCCACCTGCAGGCCGGGCTGCAGCAGCGGCTGCAGGCCGGGCTGCAGCGCCACCTGCAGGCCGGGCTGCAGCGGCGGCAGCTGCGTCTCTAAAAGCTTCGCCAGCCGGCGAGGCGACTTCGGGTCGAACATTTCCTTCTGGCCTGCAGGAGGTTCTAAACAGGAAGTGCTGCAGAAGCCATGTTTTTACCGTTTGTATTATAACGCGGCTGCAGGTATTTATTGATGGATGCTTGTTGGCCGATCAGTCAACTCTTCTGCTCACATTTTACAGTAAAATCATTTGATCATTAAAATTCACTGAAGAGAAACTTTGTTACTATTCATCTCCTGATGTTTCCTTATGAACTTCTGTTTTATCATTTATTATTCTTCTGCCTCACTGAGCTGCATAAATATAGCAAAAACTGAATAAGGCAAAATGGAACGGGTGGTTTTCAAAATAAAAGCTGCACAGGTTGAATAGTTAGTTCTTGTGCTGCTTCATGTTTACAAGTTTCCACATTTCAGTAAAGAAGTACAGAAAAAACATTTTGCTGCTTCGTGACGTCATGTTGTCAGTTTTTCTTCTTAAATAAAAGTTTTCCAGAGTTTTATTGAATTATTTACACTGTGAGAAATTTATAAATAAGATCGGCTCATTTCACCTGCACTGGATTCATTTATAGCTTCTCTATTAATAAAACATTTTTCCTTATTCCACTTTTGTGCTTTGTTTCTATGACTGCTATATATATAATTTGAATTTTATTCTAAAACAATTCAATTAAAAAAGAGAAATTAAATAGTGATGCTCTGATCTCCAGTAGCAGTCAGTCTCACATTTCATTTGTAGAGGCCTCTGACTGAAGACAGTTGCTAACAGCTCAATATCAAAACTCCACATAAAATGAGTGACATCATCAGTTGCTAGCTAGCTCTGCTAATCGTCCTCCTTTGCTTTTGCTGCTCTTCTTCAAATCTGATTGGTTAGAAAGAAAAGAAAGTGATGATTTCAACTTCCTCCTTCTATATGGAGCCTCCTGTCCAAATCCTCTGGGATCTGAGGTCAAAGGTCAGGTTTTATTCTGAGATGCTAATTAGCTGCTCCCACCAAAATAAATAACAATAAATTCAAAATAATAACAGAAATAGAATAATTATCTGAAAACAGTAATTCTTCAACCAGAGGAAACAAAAAGTATCAAAAAATCAGAACTAAAAGTATTTTCCTTCTTTCTGTTTTCATTTGTTTTTAAATTATACAGAAATTTCAAAATCCAGTTTTAAATAATTTCCGTCAGTAAATGTTCAAACTTTAAAGACAGAAACAGTCTGAGGAGGTTCAGAATCATTTGGATTGATCAACATAAAGAAAAATCCTGATCACCAAAAACTTTAAATCTGAAACTTTCATCTGTGAAAACAAAAAAGTTCTGATGTAATTCAACCCAATTCCATTTTTTTCCTAGTCAAAGTCTGGTCAGTTTGTGAGGAGTGAATGCTAACTGACCTCTGACCTCTGGTCCTCCAAACCGCAGTTGCTCTGGTTTGGTTTGAATGTGAATGCCAAGCGGACCAGACAACGCTCCACCGCAGGGCATTCTGGGTAAATACAGCCAAAGCTAACATGTTAGCCTAGCGCTAGCAGCAGAAATGGCTCCTGGTCTTCAGCCAAAGACTAAAGAGAAATCACTAAACTCTGACGCCTCCATCTTGTTTCATCTGGTGAAACAGGAAGTTGCTCTCAGCGTCTTCAGAGGTTTTAGTGTCGTTTCCTGCAGTGGTTGTTGGTGCAGCGCCCCCACAGGCCAGGAGGGGAACAGGCTGGTTTGGGTCAGAACCACAGCAGCTGCAGGTGGAGCAGAACTTCTGGTTCCAGTAGAACCGAGTCAACTGGACCATCAGGAATGTTTTGTTCTGATCATTTCTTTGTCATCATGCAGCAGCACTTTGAGCTGCTTGTAGGACGAAGCTTGAGAAATGAAACTGACGGATATTTATGAATCTATTGACTTTATTCTGAAGGTTTTCCAGGGGTGCGCCTCGTGTCGGTCCCCCGCCCCCTGTCCCCGCCCCCTGTCCCCGCCCCCTGTCCCCGCCCCCTGTCCCCGCCCCCTGGCCCCGCCCCCTGGGTCCTACCTGCGCTCCCTCCTCACCTGTCGGGCCAGGTAAGCGCAGCCGTTGCAGAGGCAGCGCGTCGCGGCCATGGCGGAGTCCCAGCTGCTGTGTCTGGACAACCAGCACGTCAACGAGAAAGTCCCGGAGTCCCGGCCGGAGTTCTACTACAGCGAGGAGCAGCGGGCCGCGCTGGAGCAGCTGCTGCGCCACGGGGACGGAGCCTTCAAGATGCGCCTGCAGGAGGACAACATCCGGGACTTCCTGTGCGCCAGGGAGGTCCGGGACATCCGGGACAGCTTCCAGGAGTACGACCCGGACAGCGAGCCGGAGTCCGGCGAGCCGGACAAGCCCAAGGAGGCCACCAGCGCAGACTCCGGGGTCCACTCCACCTACTGGCCGCAGATGTCCGACACCGAGGTGCCGGCGCTGGACATCGGCTGGCCGGCCTGCAGCGGCGTGTACAAGGGGGTGACCCGGGTGTCCGTGTACACACACCCGCCCAAAGAGCCGGGGCCGCACATCAAGGAGGTGGTGAGGAGGCTGATCCAAGGCGCCCAGAAGGTAACCGGCCGGAGAGCCGGGGTCAATAATCTATGAACATCATGTTTAATGACCAGATGGGAGTCAGTATATCAGAGCAAAATCACTTCAACGTGTTTCTAGTAAAAGTTCTCAGATGTAACTAGTTACTAACTGGTTAGTTTATTTCTTCACCTTCATAAAATCATGGCTAAAAGTTTTAACTGAAAACAATTGAATCCATTATTAAAGGAAGATGTTCATTCATAAAAACAACTTTCTAATGACTTCAATTTCCTCAAACATTTCAGATTTTTGGGGTTTTTGATTCAGAACTAATTTTTCTATTTAAATATTCAGTTTGAATGATTAATGATGGATAAAATGTTTCATACTGGAACAAATTCCAGCAGTTTTTATTGAAACAAAAATATGTCTCTATAAAATTCAGCACATTAATTTGTCAGTATTAGCCTACATTAACTTCTTACTTAAACATATATTGAAGAATTATTTGAGTTAAAATAGATTTCTGAGCTTTTTGAATCTGCATTTCTCTGAGTCTCCACAAAAAGGAGATAAATGTTTGTTTCTCATGTTTTATGATTTCAAAATGTTTTTATATGATCTTCTTTAACTGGAAACTGTTGGACAAATTAATTATTAACACTGGAATTTAATACTGTTATGGTAATGAAGTTTATCACAATTAAAGGATTAAATGATTAAAAACCTGAAACGTAACTGGAGACAGTTTGTTGTTTCTCCTTGGAAACCAGCAATAAAAACATTATCTTAACATAAAAACTCCTAATAATGACAAACATCATGAGATCTTTCCAGGAAGCAACAAATATTCATTAAATTAATCTGATTCCTGGTTTTAACTGATATCTTCTTTACAAATCGTTGTTTTTGTAAAAGTTGTAACTTTTAGACTTCTGAGCTGCAGGAACTGAACCGACTCCTGATTGGCTGGAGGAGATCATGTGATCCTGTGACGTCACAGGGATAATTCTGTTTGAATGAATAAACTGTTTATTGTTGCGTTTATTAAAATGTGGGTCAGTTAATGGCACGATAATCTCATGTTTAGTCATTTCTGAATCAAATCCTTCATTTTCCAAGAACAAAAGGAAAAATAAACTGAATATTAATGTTTGGCTGTTAGAAAATGAATCACCAGCTTTTGGTTTCTTTTTCAAAGGTAAAGAAAATATTTATATAAATATGTAGCAGTTAAACTTTTATGAATTTCAGATTTGTTTTTTTTTATATTTCTGGTTTTCATTTTATTTGTAATGTCATGTGTATTTTAATAATTTAATTAGCTTAAAATAGCAAAACATCACCTTGATAATGTGGTTTATTCATAAAACATCTGAAACATTTTTCAGTCCTGATTTACAGGAGGCAACATGAACGTTTCATCCTGATCAATAAACTCAGAAACGTCGTAAATATTGCTGGATGTTATGGATTCGGTTCCGGTTATTAATCTGATTTCTGCAGCAGGTCGTGACAAGCAGCGGCTTTAATCTCATGATCCGTCAGCTCAGGTGAGCTCCGGTCGCCATGGTTACCCCGCCCCGCCCCTCGGACAGTTCATGTTAACCTGCCGTTTCCATGGAAACCTCCAAAAGCCGCAGGAAACGCCTCCAAAAGGCAGTTTGTCTCTGAAACGCATCAGCCAATCAGACGCTGCCGTTTCTGCCCTGCAGGTTCAGTGAATCAAGCTGTCAGTTTTCAAACCGCGGCGTCTCTGAACCTGCAGAGAAACACCTGGATTTACACCAGACTCACCTGGCCATGAAGGCGACTCACCTGGCCATGAAGGCGACTCACCTGGCCATGAAGGCGACTCACCTGGCCATGAAGGCGACTCACCTGGCCATGAAGGCGACTCACCTGGCCATGAAGGCGACTCACCTGGCCATGAAGGCGACTCACCTGGCTGCTGGAGCTAAATGAGTTTCTGAGCTGCAGGTTCACTTTCACCTGGAGAGGCAAAAACCGAACAGTTCTCCGGTCTCTACCTACCCCAGGTTGAGACTGGGGCAGATAGAGACTGGGGCAGGTAGAGACTGGGGCAGGTAGAGACTGGGGCAGGTAGAGACTGGGGCAGATAGAGACTGGGGCAGATAGAGACTGGGGCAGGTAGAGACTGGGCAGATAGAGAATGGGGCAGGTAGAGACTGGGGCAGATAGAGACTGGGGCAGGTAGAGACTGGGGCAGGTAGAGACTGGGGCAGATAGAGACTGGGGCAGATAGAGACTGGGGCAGGTAGAGACTGGGGCAGATAGAGACTGGGGCAGGTAGAGACTGGGGCAGGTAGAGACTGGGGCAGATAGAGACTGGGGCAGGTAGAGACTGGGGCAGATAGAGACTGGGGCAGGTAGAGACTGGGGCAGATAGAGACTGGGGCAGATAGAGACTGGGGCAGGTAGAGACTGGGCAGATAGAGACTGGGGCAGGTAGAGACTGGGGCAGATAGATAGAGACTGGGGCAGGTAGAGACTGGGGCAGATAGAGACTGGGGCAGATAGAGACTGGGGCAGATAGAGACTGGGGCAGGTAGAGACTGGGCAGATAGAGAATGGGGCAGGTAGAGACTGGGGCAGATAGAGACTGGGGCAGATAGAGACTGGGGCAGGTAGAGACTGGGGCAGATAGAGACTGGGGCAGGTAGAGACTGGGGCAGGTAGAGACTGGGGCAGGTAGAGACTGGGGCAGGTAGAGACTGGGGCAGATAGAGACTGGGCAGATAGAGACTGGGGCAGGTAGAGACTGGGGCAGATAGAGAATGGGGCAGGTAGAGACTGGGGCAGATAGAGACTGGGGCAGGTAGAGACTGGGGCAGGTAGAGACTGGGGCAGATAGAGACTGGGGCAGATAGAGACTGGGGCAGGTAGAGACTGGGGCAGATAGAGACTGGGGCAGGTAGAGACTGGGGCAGGAGAGACTGGGGCAGATAGAGACTGGGGCAGGTAGAGACTGGGGCAGATAGAGACTGGGGCAGGTAGAGACTGGGCAGATAGAGACTGGGGCAGATAGAGACTGGGGCAGGTAGAGACTGG